GAGGTTACTAACAAAATCATAGGACTGCTTGATGCTCAGAAACTTCCACTTGGGAATGTTGAGGATTGACTGTCCTCCGTTTTCCTTGGTAAGCTCTGTGATCTGCAGCTGACTGTGATTCCTTGGTACTTGAATCCTTTCTTACTGTCTGCTTGCAGCATTTTTCTTGACCTGGAAGCTCTAGATTTTGGCTTAGATGTTACTGGGAGTTTTCTTTTGGGGATTTCTTTTAAGAGATGACCAGTATATTCTTTCTAGTTTTAATTTGCCCTCTGGTTCTAAGACAGTGGGGCAATTTTCTTTCTGCTGCCCTGCCCGGTTTCAATTCCATGGAACAGGATGCCCCCTTGCTGGGTCCCCCCTAATGTCCTGTAACCCCCTCCAGCTTTCCTGCCTTCTTTTATGTGTCTTCCCCCTTTAAACTGTAAGCTCACTGAGGGCAGGGACTGTCCTTTTTATTAATTGTATTCCCAGCACTTAACACAGTGTTTGGCACCTTGCAGGTGCTTAATGAATGTTTATTGGATTGACTTGGATTTAGAACCCCCCTTTTCTTCTGGTTTTGTGTCTTTGCCATTTTGGTTTTTTTACTCATTTTTTCAATTAACTTCCTAAATTTGTTATTTGTGATAGAGCCAGGTGCTGAGCATTACGTGTTTTTTGTTTTGTTTTGTTTTTAAGGCAATTGGGGTTAAGTGACTTGCCCAGGGTCACATAGCTAATAAGTGTCAAGTGTTTGGTCTGAGATGGGATTTGAACTCAGGTCCTCCTGACTTCAGGGCCGGTGCTCTATCCACTGCCCCACCTAGCTGCCCCTTCTGAGCACTTATGGAGAGAATGTCTGGGATGTGCTCAGTCCTTTGTTCTTTTGGTTCACCCTGGCGTTTTCTCCTTGTGTTGAGTACTATGTTCAAGGATCTCAGGGGACAGTTCAGATTAGGAATCCACAAGCTTTCACTGTGCCAGGGCCAAGTGTCCTCACTGCCTTCCTGGGCTGAGCTCCCACGAGGGTTTGTGTCAGACAACACAACTGTGAGCTTACTCCAGTGGAGTTCCAGTAGATGGCTGCTGGCACCAGCCACCACTGGCTAGCTAGGAGATGCTGCAGGCTCCCTGCCCTTTTATTCTGCTGCAGGCTTCAGATGGCAGGGCTCAGGGTTGGATCTGAAACCCTGCCTCTGCTCTTGGAGGCAGAGCCACAGAGGAATACTTACTCCTGCTCCTGGGGCAGTACTCAGCCTCAGCCCCTCTCTGGACCCTCCTTGCCCTGACCCACCACCCCTAGGGGAGGTCCCTTCCTCAGTCCACACTGAATCTGAGACCCAGCTGATTTCTCAGTCCCCAGCTGCTAATGCCTTCCAACTTGAGAGTCCCTTCTACTTTAAATATACCATTTGTACCTATTTACATGCTGTCTTACTGACTGATTAAACTGTGAGCTCCTTGAGGGTGGACTTCTTGTCTTTGTTTAGCCAGTTCTTAGCACATTGCCCAGCACAGACCAGGCACTTTGCTTGTAGATTAACTAGTCTAGTAGCCAGACCTGACCACAGCACACCACATACAAACTGATCAGGGAAGAATACAATCCTGGGGCTGTCACAGCCCTCTCTATGGGCACTATACTTCCACTAATGTCATTAAAGATTTTGTAGCACAGCATTTGGCATTTAGTAGGAGCTTAATAAGTACTTGTTGAGGTGAACTGAAATGTCATCCTGTTGACTCACGTTGGGTATTTTTTCTACTAAAACTTGTTGAACTTTGGTTGGCACAGAACTCATTATTCCCACACATTTTTCCATCCAGCCCTGCACAGGAGTGCAGGCGAGGGATCTAATTTTACATTCATCTACATTAAAGGCTGCCCTGTCAGATAAGACCCATCGTTCTAGCACACAGGTTCAGCGGAAGCTATGCATCTCTAAATGCTGTCTTGGATGATTACTACTACCATCAGGGGAAATCTGATGGGTGGAAGGATGGAACAATTACCAAGATCTCTCTCATTCCTCCCACAAGAAATTTCTCATTTGTGGCTGTGATGTTGCCCTTCTTGAACAAGGGGCTTGCTCAGGGCGGTAACCAAGGTCAAAGAACTTCTTTTATGGGACCTTAATCCATTTCCCCTCCTCAGCCTGCCTCCCCGAAAACGTGACAACGATCACCTGGTAGGCTTAGCAAGGCTGATTGTCCTGGGAGATTTCTCTGTTGTATCCCTCCCTTACCCCCAAGTAATGGGAGTTTTAACAGAGGCTGTTGGCAGTGCCTTTATATACCCAGGATGCCCTCCATAACCCTTCCTCATTTCCACCCCTTGGAATCATTAGCTTTAACCAAGGCTCAACTGGAATGCTATGAAATAAGGTCTTCCATGACCCTCCCCTCTCCCCCCAATTGGATTTCTTTTATGAATATACAGTACAACTTTAGTAAGAGAAATCACTAAAAGGTCTTTATTATTCATGAAACAGTGAATCTATAGTTTTAGAACAATTAAAGTCCTACCGGACCTGGTTGATGCCCCCATGGTAAAATAAGTAACATTTCTCTTAGTTAGAAATGTTAAAGGTAAGGCCAAAGCTAGCCCTCCGAACAAACACTATGTAAATAAACATTTTAGCACACATTGGGGCTACTTGAAGGAAGTCACCCTCATTGTGACTAGTCCTCATACTTCTTCATTGAGCTCATTCAAGTCCACACACACACACACACACACACACACACACACACACACCCAAAAAATGCCCCTTGCTCCCTTCCCTTGAGACTGGTTATGGGGAAAGATTACCTGCACAAATGATGTTTGACTGAGGGACACAGGTGCTGGGTGGGTAGGTTTTGTAGCATTGTCTTCTCTTTGTTCAGAGTATAGAGATGACATGTGATACCTTTAAAAACTCCTGAGTAACTAGTGACAAGGTATCTCCTTTTAAAATAGGAAGAGGAAAACTGTCAAGGTAGCAGGCAACCTCAGCCTGCAAGTGGGCCCGAGTTCAAGTTGTTTGGCAAGAAAGGTCGTAATCCTGCACTCATCAATACCCCTTGGGTTTGGCCAGGAGGCAGCCACAACCCCCTTGGCACTCCAAGGAGTGGCAGAAACTCCTGAGGGGCTCAAATAGAATGATGTGAAGTAAATGAAGGGAACAGTCAAAGCCGGCTGGCTGAAAGCTACAGGGATCCTCTTCTCTGTATCCTTTATGCTGAGGCCAAAATGAAGCTGGTCAGTTTTTCAAGAGATGCAGGACTCCAGGACCATTAATGAAGGTGTTTGCATTCCAAGCACTGAATGCCAGGAAAGCTTCTTTCCTGGTGTGTTTGTGTGTGTGTGTGTGTGTGTGTGTGTGTGTTCAAGGAGCATGTAAGAAAAGTATCCCCTAATCCAAATTTGGGTTGCAAGTTGAACAAATTATCAGGAAAACGTTTGCTATCTACAAGTACAGAATGAGTCTCACAGCTACGGGAAATGGAGGAGTATCCTTTCCTGACTTATCATTATGTGGCATATGCAGAAAAATCATTTTTGCCCTATGAAACAAAGAGTACAACCAAACAGAATGGGTTAAATTCACCTCTGGACGTGTATAACAACTTAGGTTACCAAGACAGTACACCAAATCAGGAGAAACGTCGCAGGAGGAAGACATTCTAACGATTTTCTTTAACAAACAGCAAAATGTTTTTAGGAGTAAAATGAAGTAACATGTAAAATATTAAACTTGATACATCTGTAGCTTGATGATTTAAAAATGTGAAATGCCCACCAGATTGCCGACCCACATAACAGACAGCTAAAAACAGATGGCTGCAGTATACAAAGGGCAGGTCTCACTCCCCACCCCCATCCCTGCCATTGTCACTACGAGAAGCACAGCTGTATTCACCTTGAGGATAAAGGTCAAGATGATGACCCCTGTTTCTAACCCTAATTCCAAGGCAGTAAATGAGGCTGAATGCTTCTTCTGCCCCTCTATAGAAAAGCATTTCCAGAGTTTCTGAAGAAATAACAAACATGTTCAGGGGAGGGGGGGCAAAGAAATCCTTGAGTTTTATAAGAAAAAAAGAGATTTGTATCTGTAATCTTTAGTGTAGAACTTATGTTTCATGTGGTATAAATTAAAGAGGGCAAAAAAGTATAATAATCAAGCATCTGTATGCATCTCACAGCTGATGATTTTCAGACAATTTATTAGTCAAGTTTTTTAGAATGTCAACCATATTTACTTTCTATATGTTACAAAAAGGTGTGGGGGGGGTCTATCCAGTGAGAAATACGTACTCAAGGGTTACAATCTGAAAGGGGAAAACTCTTGCTCTGTGGGGCAATCTAACATACCAGCTTAAGGAGAACAAGAAAAAGGTCTACGTGGAATTGATGACATAAACCAATGAGACCACATAATATGACAACCCATACCCACTCACAGTCAGAGATATACTTCTCTTGAAAAATAAACCACTTGACTATGACCACATCAAGACCGAGAACTACCAAGAAAGTGACCACAACGAAAGTGAAGAGTCGTCCTAAGGTCTGGGGTAGGCTAACTAAGTCATACCACTAGCCTGTGTTCAACCAAAGCTTTATTAACACAACTCCAGGACCGACAGCCACTGAAAAAAATCTTTTATTTCAAAAGATCTTATTTTCATATAAATTTTATTTGTAGATCATAAAACTAGACACATTAGCCAAACCTGCTTAACATGGCCATAAGAAAGTTAGAAAAGCAAAATTAGCATTTTCTATCTTTAAAGTTTTTTAAATGATGCATGCTTTTGTGCAAACAAACTTAAAAGTGCTTTTCGTGTTAATGATTTCCCTTAATTGGTGAAAACCGGGCACTTATCTTATGTAGCTATCATGGAGCAAGAGCCCCCAAACCCTGGTCGGGGGTAATAAAGCAAGGCAGATAATGATGAGGAACAAGACTGGTCTTGTTCTAGACAGCACCATCCCCTTTGTTCAGTTAAAATGAACAAAATGAAAACTCAAATCAAATGCACAGAAATTTATTTTTTGCTGGATTTGACAGATGATCCCTTTATACGGAGATTTCCCTCAAAAGCCCTTGGTCTTCTCTGGCTTTCAATGGATGATCTTTGGCGAGGTCTCTCCCTGGGTAATACAGACACACACAGAGAAGCAGATGTGTTACTATAGCCCTGAAATGGTGCTATCTTTAGAAAATCAACTCAAGTGTCATAGAATCCACCATGACATCATTCGTTATCTTTTAACAGCCTTAATTTAGCTTTGAAGATTCTGACCCGAGTTTATTTCACTCCACATTAAATCAGAAGAAGCAGTTGCTGTTTTAAAAGAGTGCACTGACACCTTACCAGCCTATAAGCACCTTTCAGTCCCTGCTCTTTGTTTCTGTCTTGCAAAGGACCACTACTAGGATTTCAGCTCTACACTTCATCCAAAAAGTTAGCACCTTCTGCTGGTGTTCAAGAATCTCACATGAAAAATCTACATTGCCACGTCTCAGTCAATGAGATTTTCAAAGCAGGCGAGGGACACAGCTGAGCTACTTAGCAACAGGGTGTATGTGCTCAAGTGTTTCCACTGAAAACATCCCTATTTTAAAAGATTGATGACTTCACTGTGCACAGCTTTCTCCACCAACCTCATCTCCACCCACCCCCATTTAGGAGAATCTTCATGAATTGCTATGGCCAAAAAAAAAGGGTTCTCCATCACCTGGGAGCCAGCCTTCTGGTGACGGTCTGCCTTCAGTTCCTAGGAAGAAAACTAAGTCCTTAACTAACTGCTTAAAAGGTGCTAGCATAGGGGACGCTCGGCCAGTCAAGGCCGCTCTTTACTTTGTAGCCTTCTGCTTGATCCAATGATGGTTCTGTGAAGCCTTCCACCTTCTGCAGCATTCCTCCCAACTCCTACAGCCTAAAACAGATTTCTGTGTAAGGCCTTGTACAGCTTCCCAGAGTTGGAGCGTAAATTCACAAGGACTAGGCATTCTCTTTCCATTCTTTTTGTTTTTAAAACTAAGTCGAAGTGTAAAGTCTAGTCCTTGGTAAAAATAGGTTTAAAAATTAAAGGAAAAAAAACATACCCAAAATGTAGCATAAAATGGGACATCACACCTATGACTCCTTTTTCATTTTGTCCTCAAAGTGATTCCAAATAATTAGCTTCCCCTCTTCCTTCTCCCCATCCCTTCTCCACACAGGGCTTTTTTTTCCCCCTCTGTCCTACACCGTGAGAGAAGAACATGCAGATGCAAATCCAAATATATTCAGGAGTTCAGCAACTACACGAGTGTAGCATTTTTCATCAGCAACTTTGTCTTATGTCTACATCTTGAAGCACAAAATAGCATATGCTCTTTACTTCTTTGAGACACTCAGTCAGTCAGTCAATAAACATTTATTAAGTACCTATTACATGCCACGCACTACGCTAAGCACATTGACAGCTAGTATCATCTAATTCTAAGCTTCAAATTGTTATTCAAAGCATACACACGCACACCCCCCCCAACACAGGCCTAGTATGGGTATGGCCAGCCTGTCACAACAGCCTCACATCTCTGTCACAGCATAAGCATTGTCTATGTTAAAGAGACATACAGCGCAGTCACGTTGGACTTCGTTTGTTACCTTTTAGAAATGTCTTCATAGTTTACTGAACTGTCAGAGTGACCATTTATCAATCTGGAGCTTTCCAAGTTTCTCTTTCCTGAGTGAATGAACTTGAGAATCTGGTTCTGCCATTCATCGTTGAAGTCACGGGCATCAGCTTCAGGAGACACACAAGAGACATCGTTAGGCCTCCAGGGGGAGGGACGCCTACCACTGACCCCGAGCTGGCTTTGACCTCTCCCTCCCTGCTGCACTCCCTAGGAGGGGCCTTAGCGTTCAGGTGTGCTCCTTCTTTCCACTGTGCGCTCATTAAGATGTTTATCCCCCTTCCTTAAATGTCCCTTTTATGTCTTAAATGTTTTGGGAAAATGTGCCTATTTACACCTCACATCAGGTGATACCAAATGCTGAAAGGCATGTCCTACCATGTTGTGGCTTCTACCTGAGGGAAGTAACTGGGCACAGTCATTCAACTATTAAAATCATTATACTCTATTGCTTCTCCTTACCAGAAATTTCATTTTCTAGAACCCCAGTATTTATCTCTACTTCGACTTAAGATTCTGTTTCTGATTCAAAGTCTACACAGAGAGAGCACAGAGTATTGACTGTCTTGAAACTGAACTGTTAATAATGAATGTATATGACAAATCTAAAAATGGAAAATACCCATTTTGCACAGTATCCCGAAACGCCACCAAACATTACACTTCCACTCTCATTAAGAACTAATGATGGAGTGGATTCTGGAAAGATGGCAGAGGTAGGTCCGAAGACTTCAGGCTCTCCAGATTTCCTCCACAAATAAAGCTAGAACATCACCTCAAAGTGACTGGAGAGCAGCAGAAATGAACACAAGTAGGGGTAAAGCAGATTTCCTCCTAAGACAACCTAAGAGGACCCCAGGAAAGACTTGACCTCCAAGAGCAGAGGTCTCGCCTGAGGGAAGCGCAAACACCTCCAGCCAGAGTCTGTGGCATCAACAAACAACACGCCCTGAGGACAGCCTCAGCCTCCAGGATAGGGTCCTGGATAGCATCCCAGGCTGAGGCTGCACAGCACACGCCCAGTGAGGGTTGTAGCAGAGAGGCGGGGACCCTCATTGACTGCGGGCACTTTCAGCAAAGCAGCGTCCCTGGTTTCAGTTTCGGGGCAGAAAGGACAGTTGAAGTTCGCGGCCACCAGATGGACCACAAGAAGCAAAAGAGTCTGTGGAACAGCTTGGCTGGGGGCCCTGGCTGTTGCCTAGGGGTAGAGAGGAGAGTCCAAGGTTGGACCCCACCCCCAATAAAGCTCAGAAAATAACAGTAAGAAGGACCTGAGGCATCATTCCCCACACCTTGGTACTAGAGCTTGATTATAATAATAGCTGCTAAAAATAAAATAGAACAAAATAAAAATAAAAATGAGTAAGCAAAGGAGAAAGAACCCAACCATAGAGAGCTACTATGGGGATAGAGAAGATGTGGGTTCATATTCAGAGGAAGATAGTAGAGCTAAAAAAGCAATCCCTTTTTCAATGAGAAACATCAAAAGGGTCATAAGTTCAAAAGGAGTTCTTGGAAGAACTTAAAAACAACTTTAAAAACGAATTAAGAGAGATTGAGGAAAAATTAGGGAAAAAATAAAAGCAATCCAAGAAAATTATGAAAAGAAAGTCAACCAACTGGAAAAAGAGAATCAAAAACTTAAGGAAGAAAATTATTCTCTGAAAACTAGAATTAGGCAAGGGGAAGCAAATGATGTTATAAGACACCAAGAAATAACAAAACAAAATCAAAAGAATGAAAAAAATAGAAGAGAATGTGAAACATCTCATCGGAAAAACTGATCTGGAGAACAGACAGAGGTGAGACAACATAAGAATAGCTGGACTACCTGAAAGTTACGATAAAAAAAAGAATCTGGATACAGTATTACAAGAAACCATCGAGGAAAACTGCTCTGAAATTCTAGAATAAGAAGGTGAAGCCGAAATGGAAGAAAAAAATCCACCAATCACCACCTAAAAGAGATTCCAGGAGGAACACTTACAGGAATATCATAGCCAAGTTTCAAAGCTCCCAGGTTAAGGAGAAAATATCACAAACAACAAGAAAAGGACAGTTTAAATAACAAGGAGCTATACACTCAGGATTACACAATATCTTGTTTTTTTTGTTGAAAGACTGTAGGTCTTGGAACATGATATTCGCAGAGCAAAAGAGCAGGGTTTATGACCAAAGCTAATTTACCCAGCAAAGGTAAGTATATCATCCTGAATGAAAAAAAATGGACATTTGAAACAAATTGAAAGACTTTCAGGTATCTGTGACAAAAAGAGCAGAACTTAACGGAAAATTTGACATACAAGGTCCAGGAGAAATATAAGGTAAACGTTAAAGACCAATCATATGGGACTCAGTAAGGTAAAATTATTTACTTCTTTTGGGGGGGGCAGGGCTAGGCAATGGGGTTAAGTGACTTGCCCAGGGTCACACAGGTAGTACGTGTTATAAATGCGTCTGAGGCTGGATTTTTGAACTCAGGTCCTCTTGACTCCAGGGCCAGTGTTCTATCCACTGCACCACCTAGCTGCCCCCTATTTATTTCTTATATGTGAAAATGTTATCAGTACTCTTTTGACTGTCATCATTATTTGGGTCGCTTGAAACAAAGGCTTGAGTTGAGATGTGTAAGATGGAGTGATCCTAAAAAATCAAACTGCATAAAGATAGATAGAAAGGGGTAATCATCTCATACAAATGAGGCATGAAAGGACGAACTGATACAGAAGAAGCAGGTGGAGGTGGAGACCTGGCAGTGCTGGAACCGTGCGCACTCTCCTCAGAGACGGGTCAAAGAGAGAACAACATATACAGCCAGAAAGGCATGAAAGCCTTCTGAATTTAGAAGGAAGTAAGAGGGCAAGAGGATAGGATAAGGGAGGGACTTTTAGAAGGGTGTATAGATTAAGAATGAGGAGGGAGAGGGGAGACAAGGGAGAAACTTTTAGAAAGATGGCAAGATTAAGGTAGAGGGCTGGGGGAGAGGTGGGTAGATTGAGGAACAGGAGGGCAAGGTAGAAGGCAGAAGTAAATTAGATGAGCGAGCAGGGATAGGGTAAATAGGGTGAGAAGAATAGTGAGGAAAAATAGGATGGAGAGAAATACACAACAAATAATTATAGCTTAGAATGTGAATGGGATGAATTTACCCATAAAATGGAAATGGAATAGCAGAATGGATTAAAAATTTGAATTCAACAATGTTGCTTTCAGGAAACAATAAAAATGAGAATTACACAGAGAGGTAAAATAAAGGCTGGAGTAGAATTTATTATGTAAAAAATGCAGAGGTAGTAATCACGATCTCAAAATTAAAGCTAATTAAAAGAGAAAAATAGAGAAACTATACTATGTGTATATACTAATATAATTCTAATGAATACTAATATACTAATATCATTCAATATTGTTTAGGTCTCATTTCTCAAATGATATATAAACAGGCAGTTTTTTGATGAAGAAATCAAAACTAGATATGATCATGTGAATAAATGTTCTAAATTATTATTGATTAGAGAAATACAAATTAAAACAACTTTGAGATATCATCTTATGAGACTGGTTAACATGATAGATGCCCTTCCACTGAGGAATGATTAAACAAGCTGTGTGTACATGATTGTGATGGAATACTACTGTGATATAAGAAATGATGGGATGGTTGATTTAGAAAAACAGGGAAAGATTTAGATCTATGAAGGAAAATGCTATCCACCTTCAGAGAAAGAACTGATAAATAGAAATATGCATTGTTATGGTCTTACATCTATGTATATGTGTGCCTATGTTTATAGATATCTATGTACATGCATATATATTTGCATTTGATTGTAGCCTTCTGGGTGGGTGGGGGGAATAAAGTAAAAAGTACATAGCAGAGAATAATAGGAAACCTAGGAGGAAGCACAGAAAAGCTGGGTAGCTTTGAAAACAATGGACAGTAATCCTTTATACTGAATCTTCTCTTGTGTTCTGCTGAGTACATGGAAAGTTTTTATTTTCCTTTTCTCATTTTATATTAAGTTTAAAATAAATAAAATTTTAAAAAATTAATGATAATTTCTCCCCCCTTCTCATAGTGTGGTTGTACGGAAAACGCTTTATGAAATTTAAAGCATCATGTAAACGTTCAATCCCTTATTGATGATGTGAAGGATTCCATTTCCTGAGTGTAAAAGAAGTTATGTATGTTGAAATGCACGGCACATATTCTGACAGACACAGTGTGTCTGCTGGGATCGTCTGTCTAACACGGGGCATATCTAGAAATGACTGATACATAACGTATATGGTGCCTCGTACAGGCCAGCTCGTAGCTGGGGCAAGACAGAGGCCCTGCAGGCCGGCTTCACTTACATTCACGCATGTTGATGAACTCTTGGTTTAACTCCTGGTCACCAGTCTTGTTGTTTTTTAGCCCTTTGATGACATGAGCACGGTCATAAATGTGATGACCCACAGCCATCTTCTCTATCCCACTGTCAGAATCTCTCATTGATTTCCTGGTTTCCTTAATCTAAATAATTAGAGAAAATAACAAGTCAAAGCCCAGCTTACTGATGACCGCTTCATCCTCCTGGACAGCAGACTAGGGGAGAAGCTCCCATTCACACGGATCGCAGCTTCAGACCCTGACATCCCTTCTGGCTTACTGAATCCACACACCCTATTTTAGGGGTGAGTCAGGGGAGGCCCAGGGCTAAAGTGGCTTGCCTAAGAGTTCACACAGGTCACAGGTCATTCAGTCCATATGTATAATGTGGACAAAAGGCTTGAAATGGCAAATCTTCATAATGTGAGAAAAGTCACAGGCGTCAGAGAAACCCGCCTTCAAGCTGCTGCTAGTGTGGTGTCCTGGTGTCCCGGGCAGAGCCAACCCTCAAGACAGGATGAGCAGGGTTTAAGTCCTGCTTTCGAGATCCTGAGCAAGTCACTTCAGCTGTCATTGCTCCAGGAAGCTCACTCAGACTGTGCTTTCCAGAGTGGCTGACAGGCATCAGTGGAGAGAGTTTCCTCATTCGGGAATCTTCCCCTCCCCCTGACCATGAAGTACCATAGCAAGGCTTTTCAAGAAACATATGAAAGGAAAGATATCTCATCAGTGTGTCATAGACTACGGAGAGATGGGAAGGTATTCAGAGGCCCCGCCTAACCCAGAGAGGGAAACTGAGACCCAGAGAGACAAAGGACTTGCCCAAGAGCTAGGATTCATGCTCTGGCCCTCTGACTCCGATTCTGATGCTCTCTCTGAACACATGGAGACCAAGATCCCAATGAGGGTCATGGGGGCACTGGTAACTACTAGTAACAGCTCCCATTTACTCAGGACGCCGAAGTTGGTAAATGACTCTACATACATCATTTATCTCACTAGAATTTCCTAACAACTCTGTGAGGGAGGAACCACAGGCACTATTTTCGCCATTTCACAGATAAGGCTCAGGAAACTGAGGGAATTTGTTCATGGTCACAAAACTAGTGGGCTTGGAACCCAGATCTTCCCTCCTTCCATGCCTGAGTTCAAGGGTGCTTTCATGACGCCGCCCTGAGACCACACTGGGATTACCAAGGGCTGCCTCAAAGTATGGCTCTCTATAACTAAACATGGAGGGCTGAGGGGACGGGAACAGTGGTGACATTAGTGATGCAGGAACAGAGGAGGTCAGGGCACCCCTGTGGAATTCTTTTCAGTTACTCTGACAGTCATATGAAAAAATGCTCTCCATCATTACTGATTAAAGAAAAGCAAATTGAAACAACTTTAAGATATCATCTCACACCTATCAGACTGGCTAAAATGAGAGAAGGGGAAAAGGACAAACGTTGTAGGGGATGTGGAAAAACTGGGACACGAATACACTGCTGGTGAAACTGTGAACTGATCCAACCATCCTGCACAGCAATGTGGAATTATACCCGAAGAGATATAAAACTGTATACCCTGTGACCCAGTAACACTACTATTAGGCCTGTTTCCCAAGGCGATCAGAGGAAAGAGAAAAAAAACTTATATGTTCTAGAATGTTTATAGCAGGTCTCTTTGTGATGGCAAAGAACTGGAAATTGAGAGGATGCCCATCAACTGGGGAATGACTGAACAAGTTGTGGTGTATGATTGTGATGGAATACTACTGTGCTGTAAGAAATGATGAGCTCAATGATCTTAGAAAAACATGGAAAGACCTGCATGAAATAATAAAAAGTGAAGTGAGCAGAACTAGGAGAACACTGAAAACAGTAACAGCAATATTGTTCGAAGAATAACTGTGAACAACCAAGTTATTCTGAGGACTTTAAATACTCAAATCAACTATAAAGGACCTATGAAGGAAGATGCTATCCACTTCAGGGAAAGAACTGCTAAACCGAAGTAGGCCTTGTATGGTTTTACATATATTTATAAATCTGTGTCAAAAGCTGGCCTTCCCTAGTTCGGGGCCAGGAGGAAGGAAAGGAGACAGTTTGGAACTTAAAATGTAACCAAAAAATTAAGTTAAAAAAGATAGGAAGGCCCTATGCAAAAATAAAGGGATCTAGGAATGTCTACTATCAATAAAGAAGGTAGAGAAGGGAGTCTAGAGATTGCTTCTGAACCACAGGCAGCCTGCTTGGGGTGATCTCAAGGATCGTTTTCCTTCTCGATTAAAGCCTGTTAATGAAAAACTAGTGAAGTCTCAGTGACCTCTTCCTAGGTGAGGCGAAAGAAGGGCTTTGGTCAGCCATGTTCCCTGACCTCATTTTCACCGAAGACTTCGGTTTAGGAATCAGAAATCTCTCTGGTTTGGTTTTCCATCTGCCAAATGAAGCCAATGCTCTGGTCTTAAGGAGGCAGAAGAGCTCTAAGACAAATGTGAACAGAGGCAGAGCACAGAGCTACGAAAATGAATTGAGAGGCAGAAACACGACATGGTTCTTCTCCATAGCTTTGGGCCCAGACACTTCCATGGAGCAGAACATTCAATACTTGAAGGAAATGACTGTTTTCCCATGGCATTTTGTCACGTGACAGCTGCCTGTTTATCAGGTGGAAAGGCTCTGGGTAGGATAGGTCGGCTGGCGGTGGTTAAGGCAATGCACTAGACAAGGTAACTTTCTAGGCCTCCTTCATTTTTTTTCCTAATTATGGCAGCAGACACAGGCTTGATTAAAACAAACAAACACTTTGGGGTAAAGGACGGTTCTCTGAGAGGGGAACCAAGGAGGAGAGGGTATTGGAGGAAATAATAATTATGGGGGAAAAGCCATACAAATTTATTTTTAAAAAGAATTAATTTTTAAATAAGAAAACATTTTTAAAAAGGCATCAAAACAGCAGCAAGCTGTTCCTGCTTTTACAACTTGTTTCCAAATACTCACCCCCCCAGGAGCTCTTCGTGTCTGAGAAGAAGCTTGGAAAACCTTTGGAGGCTCATTACCTACTTTGGAGAAGGTCATAATGGAAGAAGAACAAAAGGAGTGTCCTTCTGGGTCGACTGACATATCACTCTACAGAGAAAAACACAAAAAAGATGAGGGTCAGAAATACACCCTTCTTATCTCTGAATCACTGTAACATGAGAGAGAATCAAAGAAATGACAAGAAGTTAATCAGCAAATCGGTTTTAGGATGTTCTACATTCCTCATGGTGTAACAATGGCACTTACTAACTAACTTGCCTCTTCTCCACCCTTGCTGAAGCATTCACTAACCCCATTAGAAATCGACAGAAACAACACCTCGCCAGAGTAGTGTAAATGCCAATTAGCACGGCCAAACTAGTGGAGCCTTTGATCTGAGCCCACAGGTCCTCCCAGGCTAAGCCAGGACCCAGCTGAGTCCCTCTCAACCTTCTCTTCTATTCAGGAGAAGTCTGCAGGGGTTTTGCTTTTGCCCAGGATGCCTAGGAGCCTCTGGAACAGAAGAGAGTCCCTGTGAGAACATTTAAGGGGACTGGCCCCCAGGCCCACTAGCTCTTCAAAGTCAGCCTGGAACAGGATCCCTGGGGAAGCAATGGGCCTCTGTGGTTTCCCTCAGAAAGTGAGTGAGAAATCAGGGTGCCCCAGGGCATGCTGCTGCTGCTGCTTGGTGCAGCCATTCTGGCCCCTGGGCCAGAATGGCCCCTCTCCGTCAGGCAGGCTCCCCTCACCAGGAGTGAATCAGACACAGGCCACATCGGACACATCTTCCCATCACCCTAAGGGTACCACGCTTGTTAACTTCATCCCGACAGCAGGAGCAATCATCTAGTATTTACCTTTACAAGTTGGCCTAATCAAACAAAATTTACCCAAACTAAACAAACTGGATGACTATGAAATTCTTGAGGTGGAGCCCTCTTTTTGGCTAGAACAGTTTTGTCTTTGGTTTTAAGTGTGTGACTGTTAGCTTTAGGTAATTGTTTTCTTCCTTCATAGAATTCCTGTTTTATCTATTAAAGCTTCAGCATTCTTTTTAGGTCAGTCACAATTTGGCATTAGAGTGAAACTTATGAGGGCAGAAACCATTTCCTTCGTAAAGTGACTTAATTTTTATGTTGTATTTTACAGGGTTCTATGACATATTATTTGAAGACGTTTTAGAACCTTTTAAAGATTACTATTGTTTCTATACCCCCCTCCATTTCCAAATACACTTGTTGCCCATAATATAAGGCCTATAACAAACGAGAAGAAAGAAGCCACTCAGTCACCCATGGAGTCTGACAGCGGATGCCATGTTCTGCACCATAGTTCCCACCACCTTGAAGACATTATCATAACTTAAAGTACCAATTAATTTTTAATACTTACAAAACGTCTTTGTAAATCCTGCATGTTGTGTCGCATATGTGACATCATTCTGTCCATTGCCTGAAAAGGGCTGACATCTGCATTCTGCAGGATATTAGGAAGTGAGTTATTAACTAGGAGAGTAATACAGGAGAAACAAACCAACATCCCCAAAACACAAGTCAAAGAAAATTCATTAGGTTTATGCAAATCAAGTCACATGCACATGGCTCAAGCAGGCAAATTTGGAATTACACAATCAGAATAAAACTGTCTCCAAAAACAAGGGCAAACTCAATACCCAATGAGAGGAGAAGTGATTCTCAATCCGTATTTTTTAAAAAAAGAAACACTGAACTCCTGGGTGCCTCTCTTCAGCGGCAGGGTGGATCAGGCAGGGTTTCTCAGCCACATCACCCTCCCAACCTCTCAGTATCTCACTAACAACCTACCCCAGCTGCCAACAGCACTGCTTAGATCTCCCCTACAATCGGGTATCTCTGTGATGGCCTCTTCTGATTCTCCGTCATCTCACCTAGCTGTCCTCTCTCCCTCCAGCCCCAGGACACAGTCTAGGGGCTGCATTGATGCTGCAAGCCCTGACGTGCTCAATCACTGCTTTCCAAAATTCCTCATCACAGCGGCCTCACTATCTCCTCTGCTCCTGGCTCCTCTCAGACCAGGCTCATCAAGGGCCCGGGCCCCGCCTGGCACAGCAGCCCAGGTTCCTTTAAGAAAGAGCTGTCCCTGAAGCCTTAGTAAGCATGACGACTCACTCCAGCCACCCCACTGCTGATCACGACCTCTTCTTTTGGCCTGCCTTGTCTGCCTTCCGTCCACAGCCGAAGGTGCTGGTCTGAACAAACTTCCCTACCCTGCCAGAGTCTTCAAAGCCCCAATGATAACTTTACAGTTAGTGATGTTTTCTTGCTCTTCAATGTTTGAAAGTTATTTCCAAAAGGTGCAGTGATGTTATGTCCTATGTCTGAATATTCGGAAACAAGAGAGGGAGGAGAAATGGGAATGCATGAGGAAGTGGGAGGGAAGCAGGCAATCCCCTGGGGGAAGGTGGAAGGTAGGGGCTGGCCTCCACACTCTCCTCTCTCCTGGACGATCCTGAGGCTGTACCTTGATCTTACTCCATTCCTCCCTCTCCCCAGGCCTGGCTCCTCTGGGCACGCGTTTCTCACTCTTGTATCCACAATCTCACTTCTGGCCCACTTCTTCCCATGAGCAATGTTGAGGTCTTTCCTGGCCTTAATGCCACCTATCCATCCGTCCCCTTTGAACCACTTGCAATATGGTGCCTTCTGTTCCCAACACCAGGCATAACTCAAACCGTTCTCTCGAAGGCCACCAATGGTCCTATTGCCAAGTCCAACAGCCTCTGCTCAGAGAATCAAATCATGCCAGTCTGAAAGTCCAAAATCCTCTCGGTTTTACATAGGGATTTAACTGAGACAGAGAGGTGAGATAACTTGCCCATGGTCACCAAGCAGTAAGCAGCAAAACCAGGATCTGAACCCAAAAGTCTTCCAGCCAACATTATTATTTTATAGGTGCAGCGTACTGGAAGCCAGTATCAGATATCATACTCAGGAAGAACTGAATTCAAATCCTGCCTTGCTCGTTGTGAGACCTCGTTCGTGTCGTTTAACTTCTCTGTGCCTCAGTTTCCTCATCTCTAAAAGAGGTTGGACTTGATGGTTTCTGAGGGAAACATGACCGGGAAGCCTCTTAAGTCCTCTCAACTCTAAATCTTTGCCCCTGTGAACTCCCAGCAATGATGAGCCCTTCCTGGTCTCCCCTCCCCCACACGGACGGTCGTTCAGAGCTCTGCTCTTAGATCTCTCCTGGTCACTCTTCTTTGTTGACAACTCCCAAATCTACCTCCGGTTCCAGTCTCTCTCCAAAATTCCAATGCCGTGGTTCTAATTCCCTGCTGAACATCAACTGAACACCTCCCAGGAACCTCAAACTCCTTCTGTCCCCAGTCAGCCATCGTCTTATTTCTGTTGCCCCTCCTCACTGGTCACCCAGCCCTTCACAGGCATTCCCGCCTCCCTGCCCCCTCAACGTCTCCCAATCGTGAGTGTTTCTTCTCTTGGCTCTATCCTACACAGGGCTGGGAAAGTGATTCTCCTAAAGCACAACCCTCTGACCTTGTCACTGCCCTCCTTGAACACCTCTAGCGACCTCCTCCACCCACAGGACACAGTTCAAGGTTCTTTGCAAATAGGGTCCCTACCTCATCCCAAGGTTCTCCTAGACATTCTCTACGCTTCAGACAGAGCTGCCCCTTTGTCATTTCCTGAGCTGAGCTTTCCTCCACGTCCTTCCTCTCCCACCTATAACTCTTCCAATCTTCTCCACACTTGGGATCTCTCCCTCCTCTGAACTCGCAATTGCTGTGGATTTTCCTCAGTCACGTCATCCCAAGATATTACCCTTCGTGTACAGCTCATTCCCTCCTCCAAACTGTTCTCTGAAGCTCTCTCTCTCCCCTGTGGTACCTACCACAATGCTGTACAATATTTCAATAAATATTTACTGAATTCAATCAAATTTGAGCTCCCATCTCAAACCTAACAACAGATGTTCTTTAAAGAGCTTATGAGGAAAAAATACTTAGGACAAAGAACAAACTAAATAAAAAAAATGATAAAACCTCATTTCAGTGAAAGGCATCGAGCAAAGGCAGCTTGGTGGGATCAAGAGGCATTTTCAGGGCTATTTTCTTTCCTGCCATCTCAAACAGCATCTCAATTTAAACCTCAAATAGTTATCTTCACTGCTTAATTACTAGTTCCCCAAATTGCCCCCCTCCCCGTAAGCCAATTTTCCACTAGAGACACTATCCCATAATCACACCTTAAGCCAAATGAGAACAGAATAGAAACCACAAGATTCCTTTTTAATTTGGCTACAGTAACAAATAAATCATGGCCCACAAAATCACAGGGAGAGAAGTCAGAACTTCACTTCATGCTTAATTATCCATATATATGTATAGATACACATATCTGTATGTAGATAATCTACAGCAAGTTTAAACCATTAGGTGGGGCATTCACTTCCTTCCTCCCAAAAACTTCTTTAGCCAGATCCCTGAATTTTTTCAGGATATTCAAATTTATTTTGATACTTACCCAATACAGACACAATAAGGTAAATCTGCCTAGAAATGTTCTAAAATGCTAAATATCTTATTTGGTTAAAATTTAAATACAAATTGAGACTAAATCAATGCATATATTTCCAACAAGCAATTATGAGGTTAATGGAAACGTGTACCAAAAAATCAGTCTTCTTTAGTTAAAAGACAAAAATTAAAAACCAAACACCCGCAAAAGCTCTGCATTTCATAATACAAACCATTGCACCAAAACTGCCAAAAGGCACAAGAGAAGAAGGACCACCAAAGGTGCCAAAAGGAGCAAGGGCATGGCTCCTCGCCTGGAAGAGAAACGTCCAATTACTCCTCCCGATAGCATCGATTCGAGATGAGGCCTCAAAGATGAGGGATGCAAAGCACATAGTCACAAGGCTTAGAGCTAGAGAAATTACATAGACTTTTAATTTTTAAGAATTGAGTGTTTGTTCATGTTTTGTTATCTGTTTACAGTCACAGTCAGACCAGTAGTTATAGAGCAAGAAAAATAGTTTTCTTCAAACAAACAGGAAGACCATTTATCACTGTGAGCATGACTGAGCTAGCAGCCATTAAAGACATATGAAAAACCGGATTAAGGGAGAGATTTTTAAAATGAAACTTCATATTTCATACCAAAGTTAATTAAAAACATAAGGTACAATGATTAAAATGCTATCTTCTTTCCTTTCAACCCAGGAGACCAGTTCAACTAGTCTGCTACAAATGCTGATTTAAAACAAAAGTCATTTTTCTCAAGGTAACTAAAATTTAAAAGGTTAGGGTTGTACCTAATAGCTTCCTAAGTACGCATTTTATGTCAAATAAGAAATTAATGTAGACTGGCAATGAAATATATACTTGGTTTCTAAAATATTTATAGGTCCTCTGGGAGAGGTGAAATCCATTTGGCCCCAAAAGTTGTTCCAAAGGTCACTGAAAGGAGATTCCATGTAAGTCTTTAATTATATAGGTATGGGAATTGGGCCTATGATATTAAAAATATAAGTAACTATGGAAAGAAACAACTCTCTCTACCTACCTCTTTTGCTGCAGCTTAGTGCTCTAGAAAGTTGCCTGCAGCACTGTCCTGAGATGTGAGGGCGAGGGCGAGGGTCCCACATGTGAGAGGCAAGATGGACCCAGGTCTTCCCCTCTGAGGCCAAGCTCTTTAGTCATGATGCCATCTTGCCTTTTTTTCGCTATACAGAAGACTCTTTAAAAACAGATAAATATAGGGGCATCTAGGCGGCCTAGTGGATAGAGCACCAGCCCTGGAGTCAGGAGGACCTGACTTCAAATCCAGCCTTAGATACTTGACACTTACTAGCTATGTGACCCTGGGCAAGTCACTTAACCCCACTGCCTAGCCAGAAAAGCAAAAACAGATAAATACTTCGGGGATTTGCAGGATTCTAGCTTCAGAGCTGGAGGACGTTGTGAAGCTCATCGGGGGGGAGGGACTTGTCCAAGGTCACAAAAATGAGAAAGTGCCGGCCTTAGAACCCAAGGCTTCCAACACTGTTTAAATAGATGCTTTTAACAACATCAAAGTCACTTCCTACAAGTTCCAAATACCGGAAATATATTTCTACAGAAAAAGTGCACAGCACATCTTCCTATCATTTGGTGAGAGATAATACTCCCCTGGCTGAGAAAATACAGGAATAATATATTCACTAGGAAATTAACAAAGCAGCAATACAAAAATAAACAGAATTGTATAGAATCAGATGAAATATATTAATACAAATGATATGAGCAATTTTAAAAGCATAATTTCCAAGAATGTTATTATTTTTACAATATATTAGTATGATACATTGTTTATATACTAGCAAAATAACAGTAATAACTGATAGTTTATAATACTTTGCACTTGACAAAGCGCACACACGTGTGCACACACACACATGTATAAATATAGTATAATCTCACTCAATCCTTCTAACAACTCTATGCTGTAGGTATCACCGTTCTCATTTTCTAGGTGAGCAGACAGTTTCAGGGAAGTGAAGTGATTTACCCTCAGTCACAAAGTTCATATTCAAAAGCAGGATCTAAACTTGTCTCACCTGGTTCCAAGTCCAGGACTTTTTTTCCACTACAGATCCTGCTGCTTCCAACTCAGGAAGGAACACCAAGGGTCACTGGGTTTACCAGAAAATACACAATACTAGAGACAGTAGGGTGTAGTTCAAAGAACCCCAGACAGCATCAAGAAGGTCCTCGGTTCAAATCTGGTCCTACCACTGACGCGGGCTGGTTGTTCACCCACAGGGAGGCATCAGGACATATTGACACAAAGAGCTGAAATGGCTGAAAAATTTGGGAGCTCTGACCATAATGTAACTCTACCAGTGCCTATGATCATTCTTATCTGATTGACCTGTGGCCTAGTACATTTAAAGCACCCCTCTCTCTGCTGAGGTGTTTGTAAAAACCTCCATCTCCCTTTTCTGGCAACAGGTAAAGGGCAGAGAGGTTGGGAGAGCCTGGGGCAGTAGTGGTGGGATTCCCTTCACTCAGGGTCTTCCAGTGAAGGCTGGGGGCACCACTTTTTTTGGGGGGTGGGAGGAACTAGACACACAATTCTGGGACAGCCATGATTGAGATTAAACTAGAAAAAACATAGATTTAGAGCACGAAGGGAGACCACCTGGTCCCTTGCTCCCCCAAGGAGATACGGGGAGCGCCAGGGGCTTGCTGGGAGATCGCACAAGTACCATGCAGCACAAACAGTCATTCCCGTTCATGATATCCCAGAATAGGGAACTTTCGCTTGCTTCAGAATTCACATCTTCCTTCCTTCCCAATGGCACACGCCAGCCTCCCAGAGGCTCCATTCCTCATCCCAGGGCCAGTCTTAGCCGTTCTTTTCCTTCTGCAGAAATTTTGTGTGCCTACCTTCCTATGTTGAGCCATTATATTTCTATGTCCATAACACATTAGTTGGAAAAGCCCTTGGGAAAACTCATGGACTCCTCCAATATTTTTCAACACTGATTCTCTTTATAACTGTGATGCTAAACATAGTATGCTATCATTTAATTTTGTCATAAAAAATGTCATAAAAACTACTCTGATTCATTCTTTTTCGTTCTTAAGAATTAGGGCAACCTAAGAATTAGTTGCAACTATAATCTAAATTTTACTGAAGATAAAATCAACTTATTTTCAGATTTTTGGTTTCCTTTTTCAGAGAAAGACCTAAAAGAACCTTTTCTTCATTATTTACTAATACATGGTAGTCTCCATTTTAAATGAATTTACTTTATTTATTTTTTGTTTTGTTTTTTTTGCTTGTTTTTCAGCTAGACAATAGGGTTGAGTGACTTGCCCAGGGTCACACAGCTAGTGCATGTTACATGTCTGAGGCCAGATTTGAACTCAGGTCCTCCTGATTCGAGGGCCAGCGCTCTATCCACTGCACCACCTAGCTGCCCCCAAATGAATTCACTTGAAAGGAACAAGGGACCTCTTGTATTTCATCATATACTTTCTGTTATGGAAGCATATTCATTAGGTGTCAATGTCAACTGTTTACCATTCAGAGTAACTTCAGTGAAACCGGGGATGCTGCCGGGGATAATATAAAATACAGTTGTGGAAAAGAGAACCAGATCTCAGGAGTCAGGAGGCTTCAGTTCTAGTCCAGGGTGTCCTACTAACTAGCTCTGGGACTTTAGGCAATTTGCTTCATCCTCTCTTGGCCTCAGTTTCCCCATCTGTAAAATCAGGGGCCTTGAGAACTCAATCATTTCCTGGAGCCCTTATTTCTTGGATAATTTCACGACCTTTGCTCTTTGTCTACACAGTTACGGCACGCAGCACAATCAGCACTGATCTTGGCCACTCGAGGCAACAGGAACTTTTCAGCCAAAATGCAGTCAGGTATTCCTTTTGTCTGAGTTTCAGTGGCCCCCCACTCCCTCCTGCCAATTTAACTCAATGACTACCGTTTAAATCACTACTTTATGCAGAGTCCTAGTGACACAAGGACAAAAAACAAAAACAATGACAATCAGAAAAGTAACAATGGAATACATCAATCAACCAATCAATAACCATTCATTAAGCGCCTATCATGTGCCAACATCTTCTTTGACATATGCCACACCTCCCCAGACTAACTTCTCCTCTAAATGAAAGGACAAAGTTCAAGCGGGATTTTTTTTCCCAAAATGGCATCGATCTTGCCCCAGCAATGGGCACGTGCTGCAGTGTACAAAGACCCTGGGTCCCTGAAGGCTCCTCCAGCAAAGGGCAGGCTCAGCCTGAAGGACAGGCTCAATGATGCCCCATTCCCACCCTCCCGACACGCAGCTGCGCCCAGTCGGGTATGGAGAGCTCATCCCCACAAGGCCAGCCACTGGTGAGTGTACTTTTCTCAGTCATAAAATCTCCTGAAGACAGCCCACCAAGGAGCGAAGGGACTGCAAAGGCTTTACTGGCAGGAGCGGTGAGATGCAGTGTGGTGGATGTGTGGACCCTCGACTCCAACTCCAACACTTGCTAGCTAGGTGGCTCCGAGGAAGTCAATGAACCTTTCTGTGCCTCAGTTTCCTCATCTGTAAAATAAAGCTAAGAACACCTGTGGTACCTCTCCCACAGGGTTCATGTGAGGCTCAAAAGCAGGAATGCCTGGAAAGGGTTTCACAAACCCTAAAGCATTATAGAGAGGTGAGTATAATTGTGATAAGGAGGAATTGTGCTGAAGAAATCACGGCATCTTAAAACTGAAACACAAATTGCTTCTCTCCTTGGTTAACTCTGAGCCTGAGTGTTTAAGTGGTGATGCTATAGGACAATTGCAATCATTACGGATGAAAGGTAATGAACAAAATTTAAACTTTTGTTTAGGGCTCGAAAAAGGTGTCTTGTAAAATCACTTGGTAATTTCACTTTCCCAGACCTGGCCGCCATGCCTCAGCTGCCCAAGGGACCCATCTTCCACTGGTAGGCTCTTCCTGGAACCGCCATTTTTGGGGAAGGGGCAAGAGCAACCATCCTGCATCTTTCACCTGCTCCCAAGCCTAGCGCCACATCTCCCCGCCCCCACTCCCCTTTCAAGTGCTGTCTTCACCCATAGAATGTAAGCTCCTGGAGGGTAAGGACTTTTTTTTGTATTTGTATGCACAGTGCTCAGCACATAGTAAGCTTTTAATAAATGCCTGTTGAATCACACACACGTATGCAAATAGCATCCACCTTAATGGGAAAAGAAAATGCATTCCACCTCTCTTTTGTGTTCTACTTCTGCCAGTAGTTACAAAGAGAGCATCTAAAATCACGGACTTTTACGAGTCGCATGTGCCAGTGATACCAAGTGATAACTGCCAGCATGATTTGTGAAACTTCCACTTAATGGCACAGATTTGATTTCAGTTCCAAATGGGGACCCCCGCCCCGGCCGTGCATCTCTCCCAACCTCACTTTCAAGCTACAAAAAGTCTGAAATGGATTTGAGGATCACATTTCAGTTGTGAAACCACAAACTTCTCCCAGGAAAACTCTCCAAGGAGTCACTCCAGTAAATCCCTGAACATGCTTGTTGACTAGAATGCGCTGTTTTTAATTTAGAAAGATAAGAATACAAGGCGTTCCAAAAGTCTCTGAGTGGTTTTGGGCTTTAACAGCTTAAAGAGCTACTTAAATTAAGCTTTAACAACCTAAAACTGGCCCAAGACTTTTGGAACACCCTGTATAAGCAGCAAGTCCCGACTTCATCATAAAAACTGAAAACCTGAGAATGGAAGTTAGCCGTAGAAATTTCCGTCACTTTGGTAATGTGGCAATCCTCAGAATGCACCCTAACGAGGCTTTGCAGGATGCTCAGTGAACAGCTGGAGAGCAGAGGAATTGATTTCTGCTTTTATTCACGGCTGGTCTTTCCTCCACCTCTACTGGGATTTGTGTTGACCCCCAACAGGATCCTTAGGGTCTTTTTCAAGTTTCTATACCTAAGAAGTAGACAAATTGTGAAATATTTTGCTCACGTTGAGGGCAGTACTGAAAGCAAATGCTTAAAGCTCTGTAGTTCCCACAGTCCACTGGAGTGAGAGTCAGGGGCTCTAGCCTACATCAATTTTATCATTATGAAGTTATTTTTTTCCAACATCAATAAGCATTTTTTCAGATAAATAAAGGTAGCCTTCAGGAACAGAGAGTCTGAATTTTCTTGCATTTCTACTCCTAATGTCCCCTCTAAAGCTGGAAAAGTTGCTTAGGCATTCAGGACAAGTCACAGCACTACCAGCAATCATCATTTACTTGCTAAACTCTCATTCCTGCAAACTAAACGGAAATAGGTTACCCAGTTGCAGATGGTAACAAAGGTACTAAACTCTAGGGATGTTCCTGTTTCTCCCATCTTTTGGCATTTCTTTGATATCTAGAGTATAAGATTCTCCTAAGTTGGAATTACTGATGCTTATGGGGAGGGGAAGGTTCTGCCCAGGTACCGAAAGGTAACATAGCCATTCAAGGTTTACTTTGCTTTCTCTGGCTGTGGCCATTTGGAGGGGGACGAGGGAGGTAACTGAGCTCATTCCTCTGCTCTCCCCAGAAGACAACAAGGGCCAGTGGGCAGTCAACAGCCCACATCTGTGTCTGCTCTGGTGAGGATTAAAAAAAAAAACCAAAAACGCATTGTACTTAGTATCTTTTGTTAACAGCCCCAGCTGCTATTTCACAATGGGAGAGGAAGGAAAAGGATGAAAATTATATGTAACAAACATGTTTCTTGATTATTTTCTTAAAATATGATGTGAGAAGATAAATGTTTATTGATTAATATGAATGATATATGAGTAAATATGAAAGCAAAAGCTTTTGGTAAATTGTATGGGTGAGCTATAGCCCTATAACCATGAGAATTTTGTATCAGCAAACCCTATTATACCACGATACAAAGGTTATCATATTACAGAATTTTAGACATGCCTTGAGTTAAATCCCATCCCAGAAAACATGGCAACTTCAATGCTGGTAGTTGTGACCCAAAAGCAATTAAATACATTATATTTTCATTCCTTTCTGAAAATTCCCACCATTTTCTTATTAAGAACCTTTAAAATAAAGAACCTACGGAACAAGAAACTTTATCATCATCTTCATCATCCTCACGACGGCCTCTCCCACCAGCGACGCTGAGGAGCTGTCCAAAAGGCTGAGCGAAACTTTTCATCATTTGACGCATATTTTCATTGTGAGAAGAAAAGGAGTCTCTGTGAAAAATAGACAGAAGGTAGGAAAAGTCATTAATGACGGATTTCAAGCACCAAGTAGATATGTAGACTCTATCTGAGTTGATGTACACTTTAAAAAAGAAAGAGTAAAAGTTAAATAAAACAGACCCATTCTACAATATAAAGAATCCTCCATAATACCTCACTCGGGCGTTCATTCAACAAATGTTTCTTAAAGCAAATATCATGTTAAAGGCATTCTAGTAGACAAAAATGAAACCATCCTTGCGCCTACAGAACATACATTCTATTGAGAATGAACAATATGTGCACGGATGATTATATAACAAGTCCAAATATATTTCCAAATAGGAAGAGCTTTGCGGGAGCAAAGAACTGAAAACAAAATAGATGCCCATTCACTGATGGAGGAATGTCTAAACAAATTGTGGAGCATGAATGCGATGGAACGTTACTGTGCTAGAAGAAAAAACGTGCATGAGTATAGAGAAGCACGGAACTTTACATGACATGGCAAAGTGAAGTAAAGAGAGCCAAGAAAATAATACACACAAGGAATACAACAATGCAAATGGAAAGAAGCACTACCACCACCACCACCAAACAATCCAAACTGAACACGAGCTCGGCCCCAAGAAGAGACGTGTGGAGACTCCCACTGTTGCTCGTTTGCAGAGGTCAGGGTCCTCAAGTGTGGGGTGCTGCATGTAACATCAATGGGCTAGTGAGTTAGGTAAATCTTTTTCTTATTTCTCTTTTTAAAAAGTGCTCTGTTATAAGAATGGCTGAGAGGGAAAGGGCAAGGAATACACATGGAAATACAGGCCTCCTTCTTGTTAGAGATGACAGCTAAACTGTCCTCTGAAGGCAGCTAAGACCTGACACATAGTAGGCACTTTTAATATATGCTGGAATGATTGATTAGATGAGGCAGAGGTGAGTGGGAGTGTTTTACAGCAGATGTAGGAGAAAGTAGGTGCAAAAGCGATTCTGGTGAAAATGGCATGTCGTGGATGGATACGGGCCAGCAGGCAAACTTGCCTCGGAAAGAGAATTGAGAAGGTTGATAATATGAAAATGTGTAAGAGTTCTACTTCTCTGGCTGAAGGTTTTGTATTGTATCTTGAGGCAATAAATGAGGACTTCCAGAAGACTTCTATGGAGAGCGGCTCAGTCAGAGCCTTTTGGGGAATGCCAGTCTGGCAGCTGTGTGGAAGACTGATTGAGAGGGATGTGAATGATGGCAGGAAGCCCAATTAGGACGTTCATGGAACCGTTCAAGAAAGAGGCGACAGGGGCCGGCAGCACACGTGTGGGGGGTAGAGGGGTGTCCACCTCGATGACCGTGTCCCCTCAGACCCAGATGCAGGCAGCCCAGGACAGCGAGGCCAAGAACCTTGGGAATGGCCAGACTTTCAGGCCAGGGCCCTCAGCCCCTCCTGTGCAGATACGGCCCAGTCAAGCAAGGCTGCTGCCACTGAAGTCTTTGGCTCAGTCCGATGTCACTGGTGATCACATTAAAGCAGTCTTGTGTCTGCTCTGTCCCTTCACTCTAAGGTCCACAGGACCTTTCCATCTGAGCTGCAGCCGAGGGCTCCCCATTACACCAGGGGCTCCTTGGGAGCTGGGGCTCTCACCTTAGGTTTCTCTTTGTACCCTCAGTGCTTTGTTTCCAAAGCACTTAATGCTTAATTCACTCACTTGTTCACTCATTCACTCATTCATTCATTCATTCATTCATGTAGAAGCAACAAGACTTGGCAGCCGAAAGAATTCATAGAGCAAAGGAGAAGGAAAACTCCAAAATCACTCAAAGGTTGCAAGTCCACTGGTAACTTCCACAGAAACAACCAAGTATGGAGGGAAGTATAAATTCCATTTCAGGTAGGCTAAGTGTGAAGTATCTACAAGACATTCAGGTGAGGGTGTTTAGCAGCCATTTGGTAATGTAGGGCTGGAATTCAGGAGATAAATGAAGGCTGGATATATGGTTTTGAGAGTCATCTGCATAAAAAATGGCAGCTGAACCACTAGAAATGTGAGAAAAAGAAAAGAGCCCAGGAAAGACTCAATGGTCGGGGACAGACAGAATGACAAGCCAGAACGGGATACTAAGAGGGCCCAGGCAGACAGGCAGCACTGGATGAAGACCTGCTTCTCTACCTGGGAGTTACCAAGATCACTTTCACGAATCACTACAATCATCCAGGAAAGCCCACTCATTTAGCAAACTCTGAGTGGTGACCTTATATAAAATCCATGACTGATGCTCTTGTGTGACTTATAAATTGACTTTGAAGGCAATTAAAGAGGAAAGCTAAAAACATTTGGGAAAATGGTACCCATTAATGAAACATCATATATAATGTCTCTGTGGGTAGGTATATATATGTCTACAGCTTTCCAAGTTGATTACTCCAAAATAAACAATACTAATTTAATTCTACTATTGTAAGTCACATTTTCAAAAGGTTTAATATCATGTAAAAGACCACTGATCCTTAGAGCTGGATGACCTGAGTGCTTGAGCCTCGGTTCTCATAGCTCCAGAAGTGGACAAGAGAGCCCATTTCCCCAAACCCTTCTACCATCGACCATTTGTCTTTTATCATCTTTGCCAATTTCCCAAGTCTGAGTGAAAACTCAGATGTTTAAATTTAATGATTAGTGATTCTGTAACCTTTTATCTGATTCTTTTTATTCAACAATTATCCAATGCCAAAGCCATTGTGGAGGCACAATAGAAGATATAATAATATAAAAAGATTACCAACCAAAAAGGGCCAGGCAACAGGAACTCAAATCATGGACTACAACACGGAATGATATTAAAAGTACCATACAAGTAACCAAGTGATAAAGGAATTCATAGCAGGAAAATAAAAGCAGTATTGCTTTTAGCATGTGAGTAAGACATTCAGGGAAGACTTCACGAAAAATTGGTATTTGAGAGATGGTTCTTAAGATCACAAGATCATACACTCTGTACAGCCTGCAGTATTAATGACATCTTGCCCCACACAGGCTAGAGGATTGAAAATAATAAAATAAAGGTTTTAAAGTTTACAAAGTAATTTATATTTAGGCTTTCATGTGAAGCACACACTCTGTGTAGTAGGTAATAATACCATTTTACAGATAAGCTGAGGGTCATAAAAATTAAATATTATTTTACTTGACTTTTTTCAGCTAACAAGTATGAATTCTCCCTCCCACCTACTACCACAGGAGGGAAAAAAAGAGATACAAACCATTATAACAAATTATTGTTTGTTAACATTGCTAAGCAAAACAAATTCTCAAATTGATCATGCTCAAAAATTTGTATTTATTTCTGCATCTTGATCCTACCACTTCTACAGAGTCTTACATCACTAATTACCTCTGGATACCTCAAGTTGGTACCCATACCCACCCCTGTTCCCAACTTCCCTCCGTTGCCAAAGTTGTCTTTACTGTATTGTTATGGTATAAATCGTCCTCCTGGCTCTGCTCACTTTACTGGACATCAGTTCATACACACCTTCCCAGGTTTCTCTGAAATCATTCCTTTCATCATTTCTTACATTATATTCATATGGAATAATTTGTTAAGTCATTCTCCAATTGATGGGTACTCCCACCCTCCCCCACCAGTTTCTAGTTTTCTGTCACCACAAAAAGAGCTGCTAGGAAATTGGGAAAAAATCTTTGCAGCAAGTTTCTCTGATAAAGGTCTCATTTCTAAAATGTGTAAGGAAGTGAGTCACTTACATAAATAAGATATGTGATATATGGTCAAAAGGTAATAGGGCAGTTTTCATAGCTATGCACAGTATGAAAAAATGCCCTAAGTGATTAACAATTAGAGAAATACACATTAAAACAATTTTAATGTACCACCTTACACTCATCAGATTTGTCTGAGATGACAGAAAAAGAAAATGACAAACGTTGGAGGGGATACAAGAAAATAGGTATGCTAATGCATTGCTGGTGGAGTCCAGTCTAACCATTCTAGAAAGCCATTTGCAATTGTGCCCCTAAAGCTACTAAACTGTACATGCCCTCTGATCCAGTAATGCCACCAACAGCTTTATATCCCAAAGAGACCAAAAGAAAAAAAAGGACTATAAGTACAAATATATTTGTATCGGCTCTTTTTGTGGTGATAAAGAATTGGAAACTGAGGAGATGCCTACCAATTGGGGACTTGCTGAACACATTATGGCATATAAATGTGATAGAATACTACTATGTTGTAAGAAACGAAGAGGATGGTTTCAAAAAAAAATCTGATAAGATCTGTATAAACTTATTTACAGTGATGAGAACAAAACCAGGAAAATAATTTATATAGTAATATTAGTATTATAAAGATAATCAACTATGAAAGACTTGGTAACTCTGAGTAACACAATGACCAGCCACACTTTCAAAGGAGGACTGACTCAGAGTATAGACTGAAGTATATTTTTATCTTTTTCTTTCTTTTTGGGGGAAAGGGATTAGAGGAAATATGGCTGATGTAGAAATTTGTTTTGTAAGACTACACTTATTTGTAATTGGTTTTATTTTTCTTGTCTTCTTACTGAGTGAGAGAGGGGGAGGAAAGGGAAAGAATTTGGAACTGAAAATAAAATAAAATTGAATTTTCAAAAAAAGGCAAAGGATTCAAGGAGCTACTACAAATTAGTGCAGGGCTTGCTTTATTGTTCTGATGATTGTTTTGACTTAAGAAAGTAATGGAAAAAATGTTAGTGATGTAGATTAAACTTTTTTTTAAAAGTTGCTATAAGTAAATATTTTTGTACATATGGATCCTTTTCCACTTTGTTTGATCTCTTTGGAGTATAGTCCTAGTGGTGGTATAGCTGGTTCAAACAGTAAACACAATTTAGTGATGCTTTTAAAGATAGATCCAAATTGCTTTCCAGAATGGTTGGGTTATTTATTTCATAGCTCCATCAATAGTATATTAATGGGCCTATTTTCCCACAGCTCCCCCAACATTTGTCACTTTCTTTCTTTTTTTTGTC